GATCTTTGCGTTGTGTGTCTGTGTGTGCCACACTAAGCATGGAGAACAGAAAGAGGAGAAGAGAACTGTCTGAGGACTTGAGAACCAAAATTGTGGAAAAATAGCAACAATCTCAAGGTTACAAGTCCATCTGCAGAGATCTTGATGTTCCTTTGTCCACGGTGCACAACATAATCAAGAAGTTTACAACGCATGGCACTGTAGCTAATCTCCCTGGATGTGGACGGAGGAGAAAAATTGATAAAAGCTTACAACTCAGGATAGTTCGGATGGTGGATAAGCAGCCCCAATCAAGTTCCAAAGAAATTCAAGCTGTCCTGCAGGTGCAGGGTGCATCAGTGTCAGCTCGAACTATCCGTCCACATTTGAATGAAATGAAACGCTATGACAGGAGACCCAGGAGGACCCCTCTGCTGACAGAGACATAAAAAAAGCTAGACTGCAGTTTGCCAAAATGTATGTAAGTAAGCCAAAATCCTTCTGGGAAAACATCTTGTGGATAGATAAGATGAGATAGAGCTTTTTGGTACTGTTTACAGAAAATGAAATGAGGCCTACAAAGAAAAGAACACAGTACCCACAGTCAAATATGGTGGAGGTCCAAAGATGTTTTAGGGTTGTTTTGCTGCCTCTGGAACTGGGTGCCTTGACCGTGTGCAAGGCATCATGAAATCTGAAGATTACCAAAGGATTTTGGGTCAATGTAGGGCCCAGTGTCAGAAAGCTGGGTTTGCGTCCTACGCCATGGGTTTTCCAACAGGACAATGACCCCAAACACACTTCAAAAAGCACCCAGAAATGGATGGAAACAAAGTGCTGGAGAGTTCTAAAGTGGCCAGCAATGAGTCCGGATCTAAATCCCATTGAACACCTGTGGAGAGATCTTAAAAATTACTGTTGAGAGAAGGCACCCTTCAAATATGAGAGAYTTGGAGCAGTTTGCAAAAGAAGAGTGGTCTAAAATTCCAGTTGATAGGTGTAAGAAGCTTGTTGATGGTTATAGGAAGTGATTGTTTCAGTTATTTTTTCCAAAGGGTGTGCAACCAAATATTGAGTTGAGGGTGCCAATAATTTTGTCCGGCCCAAATTTGTCTTTTTTTCCTCCGTTTTTTGTGTTGTTCCAATACACACAAAGGAGCTAAACATGTGTATAACAAAACATGTGTAATCGCAATAATTTTCTGGGAGAAATTATTTATTTCTGGAAAAAAATTCAGGGGTGCCAACACTTTCGGCCATGACTGTAAGATACATAGCACAAATAAACATCAAACATGCAAAAATCAACAATTATAATCCAGCTCATATTAATATGTTTTTAAAAGAGCTTTAAAAGAGGACAATGAAGAGGCTTGTCTGCTATAAAGTGGCAGTGATTTCCATAAAAGAGGAGCCCTAACAGAAAAGGCTCTATAACCCTCTGCCTCTGGGTCAGAGTAAGACCCTCTGGGTCTTACTCTGGGTACTATAAGTAGCGACTGATCAGATGATCTCAGAGGTCGCAGTGGCGTGTAAGGTGTAAGTAATTCAGTAATATAAGATGGTGTAAGTCCATTAAATGATTTAAAAAAAAACTAACAATACAATCTTGAAGTCAATCCTAAACACCACAGGTAGCCAGCGTAAAGAAGCAAGAACAGGAGTGATATATACTTCTGGGATTTACAGAGGACTCTAGCTCCTGTATTTTGTACTAATTGGTTTAAGGACTTTATTAGGCAGAACAGCAAACAGAGAATTGCAGTAATCAATTTGACAGAAAATAAAAGCATGTATTAGGGTTTGAGCCTCTGCAATTTATCGTATTTTGGCAATATTCCTGATGCATAAAAGCCTATTTTAAAACTATTATTAAAATGTACAGCAAAGCTCAAATCTGTATCTAAAACCACTCCAAGGTTTCTAGCCTCATGAGAGCAAGTAAAACCTGAAGAATYAAGAATTTGAATTATAAGGACTCTATGAGCCTTGGGTCCCTAAACCAACTCCTCAGTTTTTATCATTGTTTAACAATAAATAATTATCAGACATCCAGACCTTAATATCAGTGAGACAAGAACTTAGTATGTTTAGAGCAGACAGATCAGAAGGATCAATGGATAAATATATTTGGGTATCATCTGCATAAAAGTGAAATGAAAATTGTCTTTAGTTTTTAATTAAAAATGGTAAATATGAGCAATTCTGGACTATTACTCTGATTCAATTGGAGGAACATGGTCAGGTTTTTGTAGTTGTTGTTTTGGCCCAAACATGAAACAGGAGCACAGACAAGATGAGAAAATGCAAAGTCCAACTGAAGTGGCTGGAAGAGGAGTAAATTAGATCATCATGGCTGCAACAGCTTGTCAGTGTGGTGATGTGTCCTGTCAGTTTGGAAAACTGAAAAAAATCTGAAGCCTGGGGACAGACCAGGGCAGAGAGAGGGGCTGAAGTCCACCACCCTTGATGCTTCTTTATGTTGCGAAGCAAAGCAGTTAAAGAGCTGAAACAGTCTACAAGGTGAAGCTGTGTGTGGCAGCAGGAGCACACAGCCTGATGAGGAGGGCTGTGACCACCCAATGTCTAAAGTGAAGTCATTCATGATGTCTGAAAACAATATGAGGCAGGCCTCCTTTACACATTTAATCCATTCAACTCATYATAATTTTGTGTTTTACTGTTTATTTTGCACTTTTTCTAGAATTATTATTTTAYGTTCTTTTCTCCGTTTCCCTCCTGAGTGTTTTCAGCTGCACACCTGCCCCTGTTTTAGTTCCACAGGTGTTCCTGTTTTTATAATTAGTTCTATTAWGTTCGGTTTCTCCTTGCGGCATATTATATTTTATGGAAAGAAGGATTATTGATTAAATTAAAGAAACTTGGTATAGGAGGTAAAATTTATAACTGGGTTTTGGATTTTTTGTTTAGTAGGGAAATAGAAGTTAGAGTTGGGACGAATTTCTCTACTAGGTGTTCTGTTGAGAATGGTRCTCCACAAGGCGTGTGTAGCTCAGTTCTTTTTAATATTATGATAAACGA